GGTGTGGGGTGGGGGGTGGGGGCTAAGGACTCAATTTATTACATTTTGATCCAATCTCCCATTAATAACCCTATATAAATAATGATTTAACAAAAAGTTTAGGGGGTCAAGGACCCCACCAGTATACTTGGCTCCGCCCCTTTCCCCAACAGATGGCCCTCACACAAATTGAGACAAATATTTATTTGATAAATAATTTAACCAAACAACGTTTCAAACTCTATTGGGAGAAATGGCTATGTGGCACAGAGCTGACACCGTTTCTTCAGATAAATGTCAACAGAACCAAGAACCATCTAAATTGTAAAATAAATTTGCAATAAGAAGCACCGTTAAATAAGATAACTGTTTAAAAGTAATATAGAGAAACAAGACAACCAAGACAGAGGAGAGCCATGAAACCACGAGATATTAAAATTTCTCCTACTTCAACACAATGGCACAAAACATATTGTAGTCTGCGTAAGCAGGCACCTTTATGCATGCAGTGTAGATACAAAATCATCAAGATCCAATGAACAATGATTCACAGTAATCCTATCAATTGCAAAGAAGAATCTCCACCTTATCCAACAAGAAAATGATAACTAGAAAAGTGATAAAAAAAAATGATAACTAGAAAGATACATTGGCAGTTGAGTATTTAACTTTGATAATTTAGCAACAGAAAGGAGTATCTTGGATTTGAGCTTCAAGGGCAGAACTTTATGGTGAATAGTGGAATTCTTGAGCTGTGCTAAGTTAGTAATAGCATGGGGATTTCGAGATTGATTGAGCTTCAGGGCATAATTATATGGGGAATGCTTCAACTTTCTCTGTGCTATAGCAGGGTGTTTAGCTCATCTAAGACCGGAAGCTCTCGTTGATTTAATATAATCACAGCCCATATTTCACCACTTTGTAATCTTTTTTTTTTTTTTAATTTACTTTGAAGGACGGAGCAGCGTACAAGACAAAGATTTGAAAATACCAGAAACTTTTCAAAACATAGCTTTGAGATCGATGATATCTGTCTCATTTCAGTTTTGATTGACCAGTACAAAATAAAATATAAACTTGTCCAAAGAGGTTATGATTATGTGGAAATAAGAACCGAAGGAACAGAAAAGCAAAGCAAGGTACTGGAGGAACACTCTAAAACATCTTACTCCCCCCCATCCAGAACCCTTTTCATTGTTCATAACAACTCATCTTTCACTTTTCTCCCTCTTTTATTTTCGGATAGATGACACAAAATTATCGATTAATGAACCCCGCAGAACAAGATCTTTTCTTCCTTCTTTTACACCATTTTTTTTTGGGAGGAGGGGGGACAATGATTTCCCCTTCAACCATTAATTTTGGAATATGGATGCGGAGCTAACTGAATATCACCAACTGGATTGGTGGGTTGCCTAGAAACGAGTGGCAATGTAGCAATAGGGTCCACAATTAGCAGATAAATACAAGTTAACCCAGAATTGCAAACAGGAAATAGAAATAGATGAGTAACCTTTTTAAATAGCATCATCAGCACTCACAGTAAGGTCTTCACTAATATTAGAGATCTCCTCCTTGGCTTTCCTCGAAATCCAAAAAGTCCCAGCTTTTAAGCTCTGAACCGTTGTCAAGGCTTTTTCCATTCCTGTCTCCTCTCTTCCCTTCTCACCAAGGTGAAGGAGCTCTCTTCAATCCAAAATGCTCTTACCGGCTTACCGCCTTCTGCCTTCAGCGGTCCAGCCTCCCTCTCTTCCTCCCTCTAAAACGTGGCACAGTCGTCAGAGACAGGCACGCCACTGTTGGAAGAAAGGAATCCGGTTTCAGTGGACCCTTCGGTTCACGGGGCGCGTTTCGGGGATTGCTATTCCGTTAACGTAACGTTGTCAATCCGAACCAGTTAGATAAAAACAAAACCCGAGCCCTATCTTCCCCCCCTCATTTGTTTGAACTCTCTTTCCCCAGTTTCATTTTCACCATAGCCCTAGCTCAAGAGCATGAGGGTGGCGTGCAGCGATTTCAGTTTCTGATGGGATGGAGTCAATCAAGCGGCGGTCAAACCTGTTATTCCTCTCCAATCTAATATTCTTTCTTTCTACAGACCACCGATGGCAATTTCTCTGTTTCAATGAGCTCTAACGGCATGGAATCAACCAGAGACAAGTGTAAACCAGCAATTGGGTTGGGGCGTTTATCACCGGCTATCCAACATCACGAGCTTTGACCCAATTGCATCCTGGTTTGGATCAATCTACGTAATGGACAACCCACTCATAGCCACACCCGATATAAATTCAACCCTCATGGGGCGTGCTCAGGGGCTCTATGCCATGTTTTCCCAACAGAACAAGTTCAGCCTTCTAACGACTCTCATCCATGCATTTGTCAGCTGACCATACAATGGTAGTTCCTTAAGTGTGGTGGGTCGGAACCCAATCTTGAATGAAGTAAGAGAGATGCCAATCGTCAAAGGCACGGGAGTTTTCCGGATTGCATGTGGGTATTGCTTGGCAAAGAACACTCCATGGCAGTATTTGATGCAGTAATCAGATATAATGCGACCCTGATACATTAATTAATGGAGTTCTTATTTTTGTCATCACCCATGGAGTAACATATAGATTGTACTGGGACAAGAGTGAAAGTCTTGTGAGTTGTGAAGATGCCAGAATCAAATGACCCACATCTTGGGAAGATCAAGGTCTAATTTATGGGTCTTCACGTTGTCGTAGATTGATCAAAAGCTTGAAATGTTGTCTATCTATCAAAAGAAGTATTCCCATCCAATAATAGCTTGTTCTCTCCATTTTCTTTATCAAACCTTTTATCTTGGTGTTAAGGAAATACAGATAAGACAAAAATTGTTAGATTTTCAATGTTAGAACTTCAACAATTAAGACTGACAAGTAAAGCCGATTTACGCTTGTTGTCGGTTGATTTCACACGGTCGGAGCTTGGTGAAACAGAGAAATCACCACTAGTGGTGGTCTGTAGAAAAGAACAATATCATATTAGAGAGGAATAATAGGTTTGAAAGGAAAATGAGGGTGGTGGATGCTTATCGCCGGTTGACTCCAGCCGTCGGACTCATTGAAATCGCTGCCGGTGGTCTCTTGCTCTTGAGCTAAGGCTTGGGTGAAAATGAAACTAGGGAAAGAGAATTCAAACGAATAAGAGGGAAAGATAGGGGGCTCGGGTTTTATTTTTATCTAACCGGTTGAACCGGACTGACAACCATAAAAGACTCGTTACGTAAACGGAATAGCAATTCCCGAATAGGGCGACGTGCATGCCTCCTATTGGAGGGTTCACGCGCCCCATGAACCGAAGGATCCACTAAAAAGGGAAAAAGGAAAACAGGAAGGAAGTGGAGCCCATGGCCCATCGGTAGGGAACGCCGAAAAAAGAGGAATTTTTCCATTAGATGGGTATTTTGATAATCTTACCAGATGGCCCATGCCTTGGCCACGCAAATACGCAAGATATGCCACTTGCGTTGCATGAGTGATCTACCGAATACCGACGAGAGACGACAAAGGCGACAAGCATCAACTATTATGCGCTAGAAGATTGTTGGTAGCGAGCAAGGCTTAACCGAATGCTTTAGTGATAAGGTTTTATGCCAGTATTAAATATATAGGGCCCGCATCCTTTACAGTGGCACCTTGAATACCGGCGTAGAACTGTAAAACTTCATCATCATTAATTTCACAGTCCGCTGAACAGCTAAAACATTCAATTAATCCGAATTCGTTGATACCACACCAGCTGTGTTATTAAATTGAAATCACGAAACCACCCTTTTATTGTTTGAATTTGAACGCTGGAGATATGATCATGAGGCCGGTGATTATTACAATGGTGCTTGGTTCTGTTGCCGATTATCCGAAAAATGGCACCAATTCAATGCTACATAGTTGTTTCTCCAAGTGCTTTGAATTTGAAGTATTATTTAGACCATGTTTGGAATCATTGTCGTTTTTTGATAAGTATTTTTGGGAAAACGTGATGCACTGGTATGTTGTTTTCTAAAAAAACTTTTTTTTTTAATTTTTTATTGCTAGATGATGCTACATAAGAGTTTTCCAACACCACATCAGCATATTATTGTTAGAAATAGTAAATAATGAGAAAACACCACAAAAGACATAAAAAACAACATCGATTCCAGACATTGACTTGGTTAAACCGTTTATTAAAGAAATGTTTTTCTCAGGTTGTGTATGAGCGAGAAATGTCTTATTTTGATATTTTTCCAACGCTTAAGTGCTTTTTCACTATTCAGCTTATATGGTGTTCAATGGCATGTAATGGCACCTAATTATCAAAAAACCATTAAAAAGGTTTTTCAACAAATTTTGCTCATTTTTTGGAGAGAGAATCATACAAAACATTTATTAAATAAACATCAATTAAACTAAACAATCCTTATAGTAATAAGCTTTAGAGACATTTTTTCACTATTTGAGCGGTGATTAATGGCATCTAATGGCACCTGAGACCTGACTACCAAGAAATGTTAAAAACCTTTTTCATGGGGCAGACATTAAAAAAAAAAAAAAAAAGCTTTAGGGGAAATGCTACCCCTCGACTTGTGTAGCACAATAAGGTTTTATCAAAACATAATGTTAAAAACCTTTTTCACTATTTTTTTCGTATTTTCAAGAGAAATTTCATACAAAACATTTATTAAATGAATGGCGATGGAACAAAACAGCCCCTATAATAATAAGCTTGGGGAGACGTTGCAGGTTTTGTTGTTCTCAACTAGATTACTAGACCCTAGCTCCTACTTTTAAAAATGAATGTACAAAATCTACAGATAAAACAAGAGAGAGCTGAGACAGAGTCGAAGACAATCCAACTGTCAGACCTTGATTATTCATGGGCTGAAGCTGAACAAAACCTCACTAAAGGTCCACACCACAGCTTGGCTCTTTCCCCCAATTGGAAACATCGTCACCCAGTTTTGTTGAAATATATGCGCAATAAGAGGGTTATAAGAATGGATGCTTTCCAAATCATTAAAAAATAAAAACATCTCAATGGATCATCAATAAATAACGTAAACACACTGCGCCTCCTAAAGACAGACAGGACTGTGTGAGCACCAAGAAATAGAGAATTTGACAGAAACAATAGCAAATAAACAACGGCACCCACCACTGCCGATTCACGGAGCACTGAGCCCAAGTGACGGAACCTACAAATCAAACAATAAAGACTACAATTGGAAAGCTCTTATGTTTCCAATCAAAATAAGTAGCATGAGCAATGGCAGTTGTGAACCCATGCTCTTGTAATGCGAATGCCTCCAAATAATGCCTGGGGAATATCTGAAGTGGATTTGGGACATGCTGTACTAATTAAAAATCCCAAAAACTAACCCAATCCATCTTATATGTTAACATTGGCATCCACAAGATGACAAGGCCTCCATGTTTGATTCTTTGTTTATTTTCTTTGATTTGAAGTGGGAAAATTCTCTCTTCAATCCAACCTTCTCAACAAGTATTCAACCTGAACCTCCTTTGTCAAAGGCATGATCCATTCTCCATATAGTTCAGCGACTAAGTTTGGTCTGATTTTATATACAGGATCATCTACATCTCTCTCCTCATTGACAATTATTTCCTGCCCATAAGTTTTGGCCTTCATCTCTACTCTTCTCTTTATTGCCGCTTCCACAGTTTCATATGTTAGCATTTGCATCAATTGGGCCCTGTCCTGCAAAAGCAAGCAGCAGCACAAAACTGAATCCAAAACAAGAAATCATGAAGGTAAATAAAATAGACCATATAACATAGAGGAAAGAACGCATACTTGTTCTTTAATAGCGGCTTCATAGGCAGCAGGAGAGGCCCGGAACTTTGCCTCTGCTACAAATTTACCATAGTGGATTCTCTTTGAGAGTGCCTACGGCAATAATGTAGAAGAAAGAAGTTGGTAAGCAAATAAAAGGTGAAGAGTTCCAATACCAGAGCCTGAAATAGACTATAATACCACGTTTGCAAAACTTTTTTACAGGTGCTACACCAAATAAAAGCCTCATCTGTTTGGATCACAGAAAGATAACCATTCATTTGATTTGAACCATATAAAACACTTTCATATTTGGACATGGCGAAATTCATTATGGACATGTCAAGTGCAAGTGTGAGGACCTATCACTGAATTAATCCTGCATATGATAGTAGAGAATGGCCACCCCGTACTAAGTACCAAGCCAGTATTCCAATCAATTTTGTTTCATACCCATTATTTATACTGTAAATTTAGGTTATTTTTTATTTGATATATAGATTTTTTTAATTTAAGAGACAAAATCAAATTTTATTTGCAAACAATAGCCCATTTTATGGATCCTACATCATTTGAAATGAGTTTTTTCAGTGGAGATAATTACCATTGATTTTTTTGAGAGTGAAGGTAATTACCGTTTGAAGCAATCTAAAGGCTTTGTTTTAAATTTCTAATGTCAATGAATCAAATTTGGGTCTACCTATGGAACTATTTCACCATTTCTCTTTTAATGATCTATGGAGGAACTAGATAGCAGTAGCAAGCTGCTCATCTTCAAAGGATTGGGTTTTTACGAACTAAACCCCCTCCACAAGGTTTTTTGAAACTGAATTTTGATGGGAGTAGCCAGGGCAACCCAGGGCCCTCTGGGTTGGGAGGAGTTCTGAGAAATGAGGCTGGAGAGGTTATCCTTCTCTACTCTGGCCCATTGGGAGTTGGGAATTCTGTTAAAGCAGAATTGTTAGCTGCCATACAAGGAGTCCTTCTTGCAAAAGAATTGGGTGTGGAGAAGCTGCTGGAGGGGACTCTTAGGTAGTAGTGGAGTGGCTAAATAATCTGGAGGTTGCATGGGCTTACAAGAATGAGGCTAAAGAAATACAAATGGCTGATAAGGAATATGTCTGTTACAGAGTGGGTGGGGAGATCAGCGAATGCCTTTGCTGATACCTTGGCAAAACAAGGGGCAAATAGGGAAACACTGTTTTGGGCTAAACTGTAATCATGTAGTAGCACTCATGTACTTTTTGCTAGAGTTTTTGTGGTTTGTGTTTTATGTGTTTTCTGTTTGGAGAGGTGGCATATCATGAGTCACGCCTTCCCAAGGGTCTGTAATTTCTCTCTGAATTTAATGGAGCGTGATATATTATTTATCAAAAAAAAAAACACCACCATGACTCCCCACAATAACTTTTAGAATAAAAAATGAGAATTAACCTTTCTAAAATGCATACCTGCAGGCAAATTGTGTCACAAACAGCAGTAGATCCACAGTTACCATCATCTCCTTTTTTAACCAATCTTGGAAGAAGATCTCCAAAATACATATCCCAGATCTTGTTGTTTATATTGATAGAATCAGCAATAGGATGCAAAACCTAATTGGAAAAATATAATATGACAAAATAAGAAGCAGCTACCAGGCAAATAATAAAGCAACAGTAATATGAGCATTATACAGAATTATGAAAAAAGGGTTACCAAAGTCAGAATCACTATTTATCTTTACATAAAGGGATGCAAACTAGAGAGTTGGTGAGGATTGGAACCAGCTTGAAATTAAGCTCTCTTGATCATAATTTTTAGATCAGCTGCAAAATTTTGGACAAGATCTTCACTGTTTTATTTTCTGAAGCGAACTTTCGATGTCATTCTCAAAGTTTGCGATATTTATATCAATTGGAGAACCAAACCCAGAACACAGAGTAAAAGGTTTTAAGCTTGACCAGCCAAATAGAAAATGAAGCATTTTAAATTTCAGTTCAACCATCAGAACTGATTAAAAAAATCACTGCATTATTTGGTAATATGCTCCTTATATATGATCATGGCATGATGACACCAAACGATCGTTCAAAAACTAAATAAATAATTTGGAGTCTAGTATATTGGACTGAGCTTGGCAATTGACCAAGATTGGACAACATAGTTCACATTGTATAAATAACAACCACTTATGAAGTTGTATTTGACCTGTGGGTATTGAAGAGGTGGGAGCATTGGCTCAGGTAAATCGGCTGGAAAGAACGGATGCTCATCTGGGCTTTTGTATCTGCCAACCTAAACATGCAAGAGGACAGCAAGTCAAGAAAACTTGCAAAACTATCAGTCGTTTTTTTTTTCTTTTTTCTCTTTAAGAGGTTTAGTTTTACCTGAGCATGAAGCTTTTCAGTTTCCCTGACCATGAACTCAACCAAAGAGCCTTCAAACCCATCCATGGAGAATACATTATGATCATATGTGTCAGCATTGTAACAGTACTGAGCTCTCTCTAAAAGGCTAAATATTATACTATCTTCTTGACGAATTAAAGAATGTCTTATACTGTCCAAGGTCAAGCTTTCACTCTCATCCACCCTCTTCTTCCTCTCCAATCTACAAAAAAATAGTTTAATATCAGAATATAGTTGAATAGGACTCAAAATCACAAATGCTGACTGAAACCATTAGAAATAATCTTTGCATATTTTAAGACCACAATGCAGGTACATATATGTATATGTATTAATGATTCACTTGCTTTATTTCATATGCCACAGAATTAGTTAAACCTTTTAATTAGTTCAGTTGTCATTGGAACCTCAAGATCAGGTGTTGAATTTCAAAAATAAGCATGCACATATGTCCATGTGCTGATGTACACTGATTCTTTCATGTCTCACTATCAGCATATTGGTGTCTTGATACGCAAATGCAAGTATAATTATTTATAACATTGTTATGCATAACTATGCTCAAGCATTTCACGAGCAATGAAGCATATGATGCACTTTCTTAATAAATCTATATTTACAATTTTACACATATCAAAGACTTGTACATCTACGTGTAATTGTGTACACATATACCTGCATGATTTATTCATTTTCTTTTTCCTACATCACCATGCCATTTTTCTCTTCTATGCTAGCTGAGATGAATTTGGATGGGCATCTGACAATGAAACAACTGGCATCCTTCAATTCAGTTATCAGCTTGATCCCATGAAGCTCATTGAGCAGTTAGTTTGCAGGAATAATTTGAGCCTATCACTAAACAGGTGTTCAGATAATTCTCTTTGACCAGAATGTATTAAGTCATACCAACATGAGCATCCATTCTATGCAACTGTATGATTGTAGGCATCACGACGTATGCATGGTAATATGCAGGGGTGTTGATTGGACCGGGTCGGATTGATCCAATCCAATACGAGTCCATTACAGATGGACCAGGTCCAATCCAATCCGATGAATACTCTGGACCATTTCGACCAGTCCAATTCAATGCTGGACCGCCCAATCCGTTCAAATTGGTTTCAACCCAAACCTGGTTCATTGACACCTGTATTCTTACCTTCTGTCAATGGCCCAGATATATAGGTTCAATCCAACCCAATCCAATATAAATCCATTACTGATGGACCAGGTCCAATCCAATAAATACTTTGGACCATTAAGTCTGGACTGGTCCAACTCAATATGTCTTATTGGTCTGTCCAATCCGTCCAAATTGATTTTGGACGGGGTCCAACCCAAAACTGGTCCATTAACACCCCTAGTAATATGCATCACCTTCTTCCATCCTATAATGTTTGTTAAATTTATTCTCATCATGAAAAACTGCTGAGAATAAGCACATTACATAACCAGTACATGTCGGGAAGTTAAACCATGTGCAGGAAAACCTATGATAGACCCATACAGTGATTATAATTTACTTGACGGGGCCACAAGTAGAATGTAAAAAGGGGGGATGAGGGGGGGATATTACAAAGTGGAGAGAATATGAAAAACCACATAACCTCCCTTGGTATCGTTATGTGTTTTACCTGAGAAAACGACTCCATGTCACAATTAAGTATTGCGAGTTAAAAATGGTAAGATGCTTTGCTCTTCTCTCTGTCTAATTTTTTCGTGGATCGCCATAAATCGACATTGTTTCACTAAATGCCCACAATTCATGGGGGAAAAGGTTCGCTCTCCATAAAAATGGGAAATGGGATCAAAGAACAAAAGGAAAGGACCCCTACCATCAATCACAGCAGTAAATTTTCAAGTAATTGAGAAACTATAGCATTAAAAGCATCCAAATTTAATTCAAAGTCAACATTACAGGCATGCCCAATTGGGCAAACATCTTAACAAAGAAAAACACGCAAAACAAATGAGCTTAGTAACAACGATCAGATTATCGAAAATACACATTAAGAGTTGCAACTGAAGTTGAAAAGCAAACACAGGCAAACACATTAACAGAACTAGAAAATTGGTTTTTTCTGTTATTACCCGGCAGATGAAGCCGCAGAAGCTTTGACAGAGTGAACGCATCTCCTTGATGAACTTAACTGAACAAACCCGAAAATGGAAGATTTCCTAGTTGCATTGGGGAAAAGGGTGATCGGTCTCGAAGATTTGAAGAAACAAGGAGTTGAAATCGCAGTCCGATAAGTGGGTTTTAACAGATTTACGTCCATCGAGGGCGAGATAGACGAGATCAGAAGCGCAGGGAAAATACAAGAGACAGAGAGAGGAAGTGGGAAAAAGAGGAACGAAACGAACCGATGAAGCAAATGAATAATAATGGAAGAAAGGACAGTGGTCAGCTGTCAGCCGTAATGTAGGGGAAGATTCGGAGTGGTAGATGTGACCTGTGCGAACCGGGAAACTCGTGGGTCGGTAACGTTAGGTCCAAGTTTTCTGTTTCTACTGCGAGTCTGCGAGGCAGGGAAGCGGGGAAGGAGAACAAAAAGGGATTGGGTCGTGTGGATTCAGGTACCAAACATCGCTGTTCCATATATATATAGTGCCATGCCAGTCTGATATTTGTGTGGATTCTCACATGTCAGACGATTAGAAACTCTTAGGCCCCGTTCTTTTGCACCGTACAAAAGGGACCCATTTGACCACGGAAATTGCAATTCCGCTGGAGTAAAATTTTGTGCAATTTTGGTGAAAAAATCTATATCTATATCTCAACAATATTTTTTGAATTTTTTTTGAGGATAAAATTTACCTTTTATATTTAAATTCATTGATAAAAAATAAGGGTAAATAGGATAGTTGGTTATTGATATTAAATAAATTAAAAAATAGGTAATTTTAAAATTTTCAATACATTCAATTCTCTCTCATTAAATTCAACATTTAAGGTATTAATTTGCATTCACCTTCATTGAATCATATATTTAAGGCTTTTTTTGTTTTTTTTCATCATTAAATTCTATAATTAAATATATATATATATAACTAATAATTTCAATAACATAAAAACTTATACTTTTAATATATACCTAGAAAAAAATAGTGTTTTCATCTAGATGGTGGTAAGAAATTAAACCATTTTAGTCAAATGGGCTAATCCATGTTACCATAATTAAATAATAAAATTCAAATATATATAAAATGCAAAAAAAATAGAAATTAAAAAATGAGAACATTTTTAGCATCATATATTTGATATATTAAACAATAATAAGTATGATAAACAATATTTTAAAAACCGACCCAGATGTAGGCCCGCTTTTGCCTTCAGGTCATAGGTCATCAGTACGACTATCAAGGCCAAACGAGTCAAACCGCTCTGCATCAACTGTGTGTGTGTGTAAAAATACATATTTTATCAATAAATAGTATAATTATGTTTTACATATATTATAGACTTATAGTTATGTTTTATATATATTTTATAATTATGTTTTACATACATTACATATAATATATGTATTATGTTACATTTATTAATGTCTTTTAATTCAGATTTTAACTTTTTATTTATAAAAATATTAAAATTGCAATTTGGGGCCTAAAAAGGGGTTTTCTCGCGAAAATAGCAAGGCAATGCGCCTAAGGCCCTTAGGACGTATAGATCTTGATAAGCTACTCAAAATAAAAATTAGATAACCCCAATCAAACATCAGAGTGCAAAGTTATGGCTTACAAAAAGTTTGCATATAATTAATTGCCCAACTTGCAACCTAGTTACTGAGTCGAATAGGGCAATTGTTGAACCACTCAGGTTAGACAGTTTTTAACTGAAAAAGGCGGAGTTTCAACAAAACCAAATCCAAGATCAAGGCCGAGTGATAGTTCGATCGGTTCAATCAATCAAGTCAACAATAGGTCGAAAACATTGATAATAAATAAGAAATGTTTTTTATTAGTGATGGAAATGAAATGTGAAATTTTAAACCAATTGGAAGTAAAACTATTTTCCTATTATCTCTCATTAAATTGCATATCTAAGGTATATTCTCTTATTAAACTATATATTTAAGATATGTTTTCTCATTATTAAATTATACTAATTAAATCCACAACATTAATTTTAATAATGTAAAAAATATATTTTGAAAACAAAACCATTTTCTTTCCTCTCGATGGTAGGTAAGCAATTCAACCATTTGGGGTTAAATGCGTTAATAAATAATGCCATAATTAAATAATAAGAAATATAATATAATACAAAAAAAAGAATTGGGCCACACATCACTAATATTGTATATTCATTATATTGAACAAAAAATAAGTATGAAATGTAATAAGTATTTTTATAAATGATTAAAATAGAATGCCAAAATTAATATCAACCTATAAATGAAATGATGTCATAGTCAAACAATAAAATTTCTAAAAATAGAAAATATGAAAAATCAAAAAAATAAATTTTGTGCATAAGATATAATGTTACATATTTATAAAAAATAAAACATTGGGTACATCTATAATATTATACATTTATTATATTGAAGAAAAATAAATATTATACATAAGATATAATTTTATCAATAATGGAAATGTAATACAAAATTTAATGTCAACCTATAAATCAATCTTTTTTGGGGGTCATGGGTTAATGGTTTAGGTCAAATGGATTAATTGATGATATGATAGTTAAATAACAAATATTTGAAAGGTAATAAAAAATTATAAGTAATCAAATGAATATATAAAAAATTATATATTAATTATGTCAAACTAAGTGTGATAATTAAAAATTATTTATATAATATAGATGAAATATATAATTTAACTGTTTTGAAAGCAAGTTTATTTTCTTATTTAAATTATGGGTCAATGATCCTAACTTTTCAAAGAAATTCATGATGTCATAATTGAATAATAAATACTTAAAAAAGATTGAATATAAAAAATAAAAAAGTATAGAGTTTTGTCAAAGACATTCCAGAGCATTTCCAATGTTATATAATCATCATATTAAATAAAAAATAATTGTTAGTAATAGTAGTAGTAGTAGTAGTAGTAGTAGTAGTAGTAATAATAATAATAATAATTTAAAATTTATGCATGTGCACATTTAGTACACGTATTTAAGTTTTTTAGTCATATTGTTACTTTCATTAAATATCAATTTATATCTTAACTATATTATATCTAAAATTCAAGTAATTAATATGAAAAACAAAAGTTCATACGTGTGAAACGCATTATGCTTAATTACTAGTAATAGGAAAATTCTCAATTAGTATCTTGTACTTTGTGTTAATGCCACTTTGATCTCAGAACTTTAAAAATGAAAATTCAATACCCAAATTTTTAAAATGTGTCAATCTAGTATCTATCATTAACCAGTCGTTAAGTGGCATTTGAAAAGACACAAATGCCCTTCAAGTGTTATCTAATTTTCCTTTTCAAACATCTAAATTTGGCAAAAAAACGAATAATACCAAATCGTTGACTCTTCTATTCAATAAAGTTGTGGTATTTTTTTTTCATTTTTGTGTGCAAATAGTGTAAATACGTATTTTTTTCATTTTGTATTTTTATATTTTATTTTATTATTTATTTATGACAATAAAGATTAACATGTTTGACCCAAAATTTGAACTATTGATCTTTGTCAAATAATAAAATAATTTCATTTTGGTTAGTTCTAAATTATGTATTTCATTTTCATTACCAATAAAAATAATTATTGTTTATTACACTCTTTTTTAATTTTATTAATAAAAACATCATAAATGTGTCTAATTTTTCTACATTTTTGTAAGTTTCTATATTTATTTCTATCTTAAAAATTTTATTACCTAACTATGACTTTGTAGGTTGATCAATTTGATTTGGATAGTAGGATTGCTTAGCCACCACTTGGGTTAAAAATGGTTTTATTTTTTTTAATCAATTTTAAAATATATGGGTTTATATTGTTAAAAATATTGACATGGATCTAATTTAATAAGAGAAAATGAGAGTTAATGATTTGAGCACAAGACTTGATGAAAGGGGATTAAATGAGGTGGGAAATAATAATTGAAGTTACATTTTCAACGTAACCATTAGAGATGGACTAAATACACAATTATGAACATTTTAGTAGTCATTAACATTGGTATTAAAGCTATAATAAAATGGCATTTATACATTTTCTCAAACAAATAAGTAGAGGGTAATTTTAGTCCAAAAAAAAGTTTCACATTGCATTCACACTTTTATATATAGTATAGATTAGTTGTGTTATAGTAATAATTATAGTAAGTGTGCACGTGCTTTGCATGTGGCAATTATAGACAATGATAATTATAGTAATAATGTATTCAGAATTTTTCTATGAATTTGATGTATTTTTTATTTTTTTTTATATTTTTTATCATTAGTCAGATGCATATTGCAAAAGATTAGATACAGTTGACTATACGATCAATTTTGCTTTGGCCATGAACCGCTATTTTACAAAAAAACCATTGAAATGATTAGAGAACCATTGATCCGAACATTTTAACTATCAAAACTAATTCCAAATTTTTTATTTATTTTAGAATATAAATTTGAAAAAAGAAACTTCCATATCTCACAATCTTGTTCGATTATTCCTAATGGTCAAAATTAGTAAGGGTTTTTAGTTTTTCCATATGGGATATAAGATCTAAGAAGAGGGCAAATGGTGTTGTAACAGTTGCGATGATGAACATGAAGATAGCCACTACCTCCTTAAAGTTTCACACTCCCCTCTCATAATAATGTATATATACAGTGGACTTTAACCGAATTCTAATCTAACAGTCAAAATAAAAAGTTACATTTTATCAGGTTGACCCACTCAAATTGGATGATTGAATTGTTGATATGAAACCAAAAGACAAAGCATTCCACAATCTTATTCATATTTTTAATAGTAGTGTAAATATAAAATTATACATGTGTTTAGTTTTTTCTTTATTTTTTTTTGTATTTTTGTGTTAAAAATAATTTTGATATGCCACACTTAGTTTTTTGTTTAATATGATGAATATATGATATTATACATGTGCCTAAATGTTTTTTTTTGCAAAATTTATGCATTTATACATTTTATTAATTTTTTATTATTTATTTATGACATTAAAGGTTAACACATTTAGCTTAAAAGTTAAACTATTTATTATTATTTTTTATATTTCATTTTTGGTCAGTTGTAAACTATGCATTTCATTTTCATTATCAATAAAAATAGTTATTGTTTATTACACATATTTTTTTCAAACTTGTTTAATAAAAATATCATAAAGATGTATATTTTTTCTACATTTTTTTGTATTTTTTATATTTTAAAAATTTTATTACATAAATATGACTTCATAGGTTGATCAATTTGATTCGAATGGTTGAATTGCTTAACCAACACTTGGATAAATAATGATTTTTGATGAAGGATGATTTGACCCGACCTATGAAACAGCGACACGTGGACACTGACTCCGCAAAAGCAACAACTCAACATTGTGGTCCAGTACAACTAAGTAATGGGCCCATAAAGCAGCTTGCTACATCGTA